ATGCCAGCATACATTGAAGTCCAGCATACAGGTTTGCAAGCTTGTTAGTGGCGACCGATCTGGTATGGTCGGCTTCGTTTGTTTCACTTTCTTTCGCTATACCTCCGGTGACCGATCCTGGTGACCGAGCGACCGATTGGTCACCGATCCGTGTTTTCCAGTCACCGATCCGTGATTTGCGGTCACCGATCCGTGGCGACCGATCCGACCACCTTGGTGACCGATCCTGGTGACCGATCCGACCCTCACCCGAGATGCACACTGGACTGGCACCAACAAAGACGCCAGTGTTGCGTTTGTAAGATCGATTCGGGACTCTGGATCGGGGTACCTTCTATTGTGCTTTCAATTCCTTATGGGCCCTGCTAGTAGTTAGAACTATTGTGGCAGGCTTTGCGTCGGTTCTTCATTGGCAGATGTGCACTTGACCCCGGGACCTCTTGAAAATTAAATTGCAGGACTTGATGGTAGGACCTTATTGGATTACTTGGGCGTTTCAATACCAAGGTTCCTTCAGGTCTTGGAGTGATCAGATAGTACGTACTTTTATCCGGAGTGTGTCTCCTCGTGAGAGCCCGGAGTGATTCCGAAGAGTGCCCTCTTTGGCCCTCTGTCTGTCTGTCTGTCTGCCTGGCTGTTTGCCTGTTTGCCTGTCTGCCTGTCTGCCTGCCTGTCTCTCCTGTCTCCCTCTCTCTCTCTCTCTCGAGCACGCTCGCTCTCACTTCAATGCAAAATTCAAAAGCCAAGTAAGAACTTCCTACCTGGAACCATGGAGCAGGTCGTAGACCGGAAATTTGTTCACTGCGAGCGGAGTTGCCCGTCCAATGGACATGGTTCAAGGTGGCCGGAGCGGCCGTAGTCCGGATCTTACTTTAGCGTGCGCCGTGTGTCACATACGTACCAAACGAGGCTACGTTGCAATGAGGGATGGCGTCGTGTGGTTTGGCCCTCTCATCTGGTTCCCTGTCATCTGCCTCTCACACACCTTTCTTGTTCTCTTTCTTTCCATGTCTTTTCTGCCTTCATGTCTGGTCATTTCATCTCCTTCTTTTTGCGCGCGCGATCGTCGGGGCCTTAGCCCGTTCGTTCACATTGAACCAGGTTGTTAGGTGCCCCAGGTTATGGCTAATGAGGTTTGGTTCGTCGGTTGTCCCTGCACTTAGTGTCCTCTTCATGGCCCTTGCACACACAATGTGCACATCGTTTTCATGTGTCTCTGTCTCGGGTCTTCATCTGTCCTTTTCGTGCACATGTGCCTTTGTATGTGCCAAACTTATTTGGGATGGATCGCCATCCTGTTTTGGTTGGAGTGTTCCACCAGTCTAACATGATAGTTCCTGGCATGCCTCGTGCTTAACCACATTCTGTACTTTGAAGCCACCTGAGGACTCAGAAAGTTAAACCCTTCGAAGCCTTCAATCTTTGCATCCGATATCTCGCAGCACGAATTTTGCATCTCGGTGAGCAGGTGGCCACTGCGCTCCCCCCAGGACGTGTTTTTCTTTTGCTTCCCTTTGCTTCCCTTCTTCCCGAAGATTTCAGATATGGAAGGCAACCTGTTGAAAAACATTTTGCACAGTTGGTTCAGGTCTGTGCCTTTTGGTGCAGGTCTGCAATGGCAAACCAGCAGCAAAGTATTGAACGTGTTGAGCAACCTAGGTTTTTCAAACAAATGTCCCACCATTGTCTTACGCATGACACGGGATCGTGTGTGCCATGGCATCCGAATCGGAACATTTTTGATTTTATGCTGCTCAGGTATACCATGTGCTATATCTTGGGCACCAATGACGTGGTCGCTGCTCTCCGTTCCCTCATTTGGATGGACAGCATCCAGCCTTAATGCTGAGAAGGGTTTGACTGCGGACACAGAAGACATTGCCCATGAAGGACTCCCAAACGTTGTAGCTAAGATACTAGGATAGAAACATGACCAGCCTTCCCTTCAATTACGGGCGGTTGACCTCAAAGCCCGATGTGCGCTCAGGTATTTTATCGATCGGACGTTTGTACATGAAAGCCCTCACGGTTTTAAAGAAAGCCTGAAACTTCGGCGCTTTGGCGAGTGAAAAAGTTGCGGTTGCGCGGACATCCGACAACTTAGATTGGGCAGTCCTTCCAACAGTGGACAACAGCAAGTCACAAGTGAGTCCCAATATGTACGACATATTACATATAGACAGAGGTATACTAATATGTGTCAGCAGTCAGTTGTTTTCATCCACCAGTTACAAGTCTTTGCTGCTCCGTTGCTAACGGTTGAAAGTCTAGAAGAAACATTAAAGCACTGCACTGGTGAAGCATTCAACATGAATCTCGTGTCAGGTGATCTTGAGCCCGGGGCAGATGGCGGAGAGTGCCCGGGATGCCCAGAAGAGTGACGAGTCCAGCAGTTTGGTCCAGTTATCGGTCGGTCCCGGTATTTGATCGGCACATTTTCAGAGTATTTATGGTGAAAGGTCTGTGAAGGGATGTTAATGGTTATGGTTGAGTTTGCAGCAAAACGGTGTGTGAAAACCAACATGCGGCACCAAAGGGCAACCATGGCTACCATGGCTATAGTTCCAAAGAACAGAACACACTCACTGAAGAAGTGTTTTTGATTTCCAGAGCGGGTTAGGTTGGAGGCCATCGCTTCTAGGTTGGAGGCCATTGGTATTAGGTTCCCATCGCTATTTGGTTTGTCTTCTTCACTCACCAAGGCCAAGACCCTGAATCGGCTGGATTCCATTCCATTCGCTCCCGGGAACCATCGTCGTACTAGCATTACTCGCCAGGCACACTTCATTGCGGTGGCCAGTGATGTCTTCAAGGCCACATTTTGATCCAAGTTCGGAGTTTAGGCATCTGTCCGGCAGAGTCAGAGTCGTTCTTCTGAGTGGATGTCCATGGGTTCATTCATCCGAAAGGATCTAAAGTCTGACCATTTGGTGCCTTGCAGGGCGCATTCCGCTTCGAGTGCTACGCCTACCCGGGGCACTACCTGGCCTTCCTTCCGCCAACGCACTTGCGGGCCTGGGCCGAGGGAGATTCGACGTGTTTTTTTGCCGCAGTTCAGTTGGTCACTTGCCCAGCGAAGATTCTGAGCACAATGCGTATGGACACTCGGAAGCCTGCCTGCAACCGAAAGTGTGCCTCACGCGATCGTGGCAGGTGGTTGGAGGTACTGTGGAAGAGAAGACAGCCATCGATTTCATGTTCCCGAGCTGAGTCTTTCAGATAGCAGGCGTTTCTTTGGGTATGGAGGCTTCACTACTGTGGGTCATGTGGGTTTCTTTGGTCTTGGCTTAGGGCTTCACTTCTTTAGGGTTCCCTAGGTGTTCGTTCTTTTAGTTTTGGCATGCGGATTTCACTTCCCTGGGGTTTCTCTGGGTTGGCTTAGCGTGGTTTCACTTCTCTAGGGTTTCTTTGGGCTTGGCTTGCGGGCTTTGCTCCTCAGGGATTGTCTAAGCTTGGCCGATTCTACAGAACAACATGCGTTTCTTTCTTTCTTTCGCTTTCGCCAAGGACGGTTGTCTGCGGCGGCATGCACTAATTAGGTCAGGTTGGGTGAGGGTCTCTGCCCTCTATTGCCAAAGTCCTCCCCCATACTAGCTTGCGTATCAAAAGAAGCATTGAGTGAATCAAACACCTTTTTGAACCACAACGGTATGGGGTCAGGAGAATCTGGCTGGGGTTGGCTTTCAGCACAAAGGGTCGCTATTGCTTCACAGAAGTCTGGTGGATATGCCTTAAGCACGGCAGTCTTCCACTTTCCTTCGTGGTTCTTCCCTATGGCTGTTGCCGTTGGTAACGCGGTCGTGCGCTGTTGGAGAAACAGTTCTTCAGCTCTGTCGGTCACATTAACAAGAAGTAAGTCGGTGGGTTTCACCGTCTTCCCCCCGTAGTGCCCTTGCAGCACACGTACCTTAGTGACTCTTGGAAAAAGTTGCAGGAGGCGCAAAATGGCCGTCTTCCATATGGACACGAGATGGGGCTCGTTATCGTCCCCGGCTGGATGCTCTAGCACCCCAGTCTTGCCGTGTGCCAGGGCCACACATAGGAGTTTGACCGCCACCGCCAACAAGCGAGTACCAAAGGTCACTTGTTCATCCTCCCTCTTACTGAGATCAAGCTTCCCAAAAGGTTTGGCGTTGGTTCGCAAAACTCTCGGTCCGCTCGATCCATCTGGTAGTGGCTGGCCCCTTGCCCTGGACCAAGTCTCACAGGGGGGGCCAGCCACAATTCCTTGGATCACATTCTCCTCAATTGCTCGTTTAAATAGAGCAAATGTTTCAGGGCGATTGAGGTCGCCGAGGGTGACATTAAAAATGATGTCAACAGAAATCATGGAGAAACCCTTCCTTTCGAGGCATTCTTGGACATCAGAAAATCTTCGATGCCCAGAAAAGAGATGGGCGAAAACAACTGGCTGGTATTTAGGAGGTCTGACACACCGAAACATTTGTGTTTGCATCTTGGCTGCCAGTTCAGCAATCATCTTGCTGGGGCTCCGGCAATTCACTTTCTCTCGGCGTCCAGTAACAAACCACGAAAAAGCAAAAGCCGTCTCATACAGATGAAGCACACCCAGAACATCAAGTGTCAAATTTTCACTCTGTGTCATGGCTATTCTCCAGTCTGCAAAATTCTGGCGGATCTCAGCTGGAAAGAGACACGTATCCAAAGTCGCTTTACGCAATCTCTCAAGCAGGGGACCCTTGTCCTCGCAGGCTGTAAGTGTGTCTGTCCATCTGGCCCAGAGCTTTCGGCATTCTCCTTCAACGAAGGGGTCGGCATGTCGAAGGGTGTGAGAGTCCTGTTTCGGTCCTTCCCCTTGGAGGACCGGATCAGGCATCACTGGCTTAGATTGATTTATGGTTCGACTGTTGACTCCTGGTTCCGGATCAACAATAAAGGCACCTGCAAGGTATGTCTGGAGACAGCTACCACTTCTCTTTACATGGTTTTGAAGATTAATGGCTGTCGAGAAATGCTTTAAGCATTCTTTGCACTGTAATCCATCAACAAAGTGTCGAGTGACATTCCTCCTTGCATGCGTTTTAAACGCATGTACCGCTAATGCAGCCGGAGAGGCAAAGGCACGAACACAGCATAAACAGAAATATTCTTCTGTTCGCAACTCTTCAGGTGCCTGGAGTTCAGCATGTTCGCATAAGTAGTCTAGTGTCCACTTGTGCCACTGTTCCCACTCATGCACTCTGCGGTGGTATGCAATCGCTCTTGCTTGAGCTCGTCTGAGCAGCCGCTTCCAGGGGAGCATCCGGTTAGTTGCCCAATCTTCCATCAGCCACAAGTGTGGTTGCCCCACTCGAACAATCTGTGCCAAATATCTTAGGCGTGCCACTCTCAGGAGGACCTCAGTAGTGGGCAGTTGCAAAGCTGAGTAAACTTGAGCTTGGCTCCACTCCAAAGCCTGTTTACCAAAGTGCATCACCGCAATGCGTTTGTGCAAACGGTCAAAACCGGCAACAATTTGTTTCTGTTGTCCTTTAGTTCTGGTCTGCCATGTAGCAGCATTGAAAACGATAGCACTCATGACTAACGAATTGAAAAGCTGCGTCTTGGCGCCAATGTTCATTTGTCGATTGGAAAAGATCTGTGCTTTGTATCGTGTCACAGTCTCGTGGGCAATGGCAAATTTAGTTTGTACATCTCTGCTTGTCCTGCCACCTAGCTGTATGATGGTTCCGAGGTGTCGGTATGAACCTACTGCACGCAGGGGTTCGGCAATCAGCGGTGACTGCAGGTGGAATTTATAATCCTGGTGCATTAGGTCCCTTCGTGCCTGAAGGGAGCCGCGTCCTTTCAAGTCAACCAGAACTTCTGTCTTGCCGGGCTTCATATTGGGCTGCAATCCAGACACAGCCAAACTATGAAGGACGTCATTGGCGACTTGTGGCAGGAGTTGGAGAAGCTCTTGTGGTGAGTCATGTGACATGGCGAGTGCTAAGTCGTCAGCCCAGACAGGAAGAAGGGGGCCTAGCAAAGTCGTCTCTTCGTCTGGATGGGGTGTATTTTGTCCTGTCCATGCTATCGTCAGGAAGGGGTATTTATCGAGCAGTACCCCTTCGCGGCGGCGAAGTAGTTTGGCCAGGGCAAAGCCAAAGCAGATGTCAGCAAATGAGTCACCTGGCCTGCTACCTCGGTGAGTTTGTGTCCAGGTGCTTGTCCCATTCACTGTGTACCAAGTACGCGAATAAAATTCACGAAAAAGGCTCTGCGTGAAAAGGGAAGCATTGGATTGCTCGATAGCAGGCCCTTCCTGGAGAAGGTCACAGAATTCATCATACACTTCTTCCGGCAAACAAAGGCTGGTGAAAATCTCTTGCACAGCCCGTTCAGCTCCGGTCCCCGATATAATATGTTCTCTTAGTAGCCGGTAGAAGGCATTTTGTATGTCTACGAAGAGTACAGCAAAACTTCGATGGTTATCATTGGACCATCCATGGTACAAATGGATAACATGGGAGACCTGCGTGATGCCTTGCCCCTTGAGGCCACCTAATTGCATGCTGCGTCTGGATTCTGCAAAATTTTCCCCTAGCCGTCCTCGGTAGAGGCTATGCAAGGCCTTACCGACCGGGCTTGACACAAAAAGTGATCGGTAGTTCTCGCAGAGGAAAGGTGACCCTCGTTTGAAGGCTGGCACCAAGTTGCCTCCCTTGTATAGGACAGCTTCTCTTTGGTAGAGAACTTCCTTCAGGAATAGGGGCATGAACACCTCTGTCATTCCCTCCGGTATCATAGCGAGGAGGTCGCCCGGGACTCCATCCGCAAAGTATGCACGATTGCGAGAGGTCTTGCGGAAAGCTGCCTCTACTTCTCGCCATGTCGGTACATCATCAATCTGCGGCTTTTCTCTCTCGCACATCGCCCGTCCTTGCTGCAACAACAGGTCTTGAGGTTCAACCACGTGTCCATCTTCTTGGGTCGCAAAGTGGGCTCGCCATCTTTCCGCCAGGGCGCCACAAGTATCAATAGGCTGGCCCTGTTCATCATAGACCATCGGCAGCGGGATGATGCCAGTAGGCTTTTTCTTGCTCCTGACTCCCATGGAGCGCAGCGCATCAGCAAATTCTTTGGGACTCATGGTTTTTGCTTTCCTCGCCACTTCTTCCAAGGCAGTCGTCCGATCCCTCCTGAGACAACGAGAAAGGAATTTCGTATGAGCCGCAAGTTGTTCCTTGCGGTTAACCAGTAGGCGGCATCCGAGTAAGGCTTCAGTAAATATCGTGGCATTCCGAAATGGTTGTCCAGAGGCCCATCCCGCAAAAGCCTGTCTCAGGGACAATAGGCCAATCTGTCGGCGAGCTCTTGTCAATTCATGCTTCAGCCGTAGTCGCTCTCCTCGCAGTTGCCATGTTCCATCCGTGACATAGCTCTTTCGTGGTCTGGCTCCATGAGAAGGGAACAGCACCTGGAGCCTCTCGGAAATCCATTCGGATAGTATAGTGGCATGTCTGTCAACATTAGTTTGCCAAGGCACCGAAGGGGGCTGCGAGAATTGCCGGGCCAGCCATCGAGTATCGGACTTTTGGAGCTCTCGTCGGTCAAAGTTGGGCCTCGTCCGCTTCTGTTTCTGGACTGCACTCCATAAACAACATTCAATCGTCAGCGGTGTATGGTCCGTACCTGCATTGCCTTCATCCACGGAAAAGACCGGGTAGGTTCGGATCCGCAGCGACTGCTATTGTTGTGGGCACACTATGTAATCGCAGCGTGCTTCTTGGCCGTTCACATTGCTCACCCACGTAGTAGTGGTCCCTTCATGTATCCACTGGAAGGTTGAGGGCAGGTATGCACCAATCTGGTGGAGGAAGTCCTTGAAATGCTGCGCAGATAAATTTTCTTTATCCTCGAGGCCATAGCTGCCGACAGCAACATCATCTCCTACAGCAAAATGAGCATTGGCATCAATACCAATCAGAAAATTCGGGTACTTTGGGATCCACTTCAACATTTCAGTGGAAAGCATCTTCCAAAAGGCATGTATGACTTGTGGTTGGTGTCCCGAATGTGGTGCATGGGCCGTGCAGATGAGCCAGTGTAGTGATTTATAGACCACTCTGGCAAGCATGACCTCGGGGTGTGAAAAAAGAACTTTGATTTCTTGTTTCGGGAAGAGTTCACTGTCTGACCCATTACGGTGTCGTAGTAACCAAATCTCAACTCCTCCTTGTCCATTGACTGCTGCTGAACTCAGTCGG